TTATAATAAAAAATTCAAATATCTCTTTCTCTTGCTCGTTTGTAAATTCGTTGCTCTAAAGAGAATTTTATTTTAAGAATTTGGTTTTTATAGCTGTCCCAAAGGATATTTTTTTCGTTCTTGTAAAAGTTCATAATATTAAAAATATTTCGGCCCAAGCATTGTGATCCACAACCCCGACTCTTCTCCTTCTTCTTCTTCTTCTTCTTCTTCTTCTTGTTCTTCTTCTTCTCCTCCTCCTCTTCCTACTCCTCATTCTCCTTCTTCTCATCACTTGTGTCGTGGGCGACTTCATCATCCTCCGAAGGTTTCAGCCTCGAGAATGTCGTTTGATTCTCAACTAAGGGCGATTGTCTTTTATATCTCTTACATATTCTGTTCTTGGCGGAATCCCTTTTGCTTTTCTTTCTTCTATCCTTCAAGTAATGATTTGCGTCAATGCGAATAGCGTGGCATTTGTTCGTTCCATTTATTCCTTGTTTTGATGATTTTTGTTAGCAACGATTTTCATTCTTTCTTTAGAATACGGTTCATTCGTTATTTTTATAGTCATTTTATTAGTGGCGTTCGGCACAAACTCCTTTCCTAAAGATACATTTAAAGCCTACGTTGCAACGTTCCAAACAATGCTTTCAATTAAGTCTTTTTTACTGTAAGTGATTTTCTCTTTGAAATGGGTACACTTTTTTTCTATCAAAAGCTTCTTTGACCAGATCAATTAGTCACAGGATGAATTTTAATTGTGCTGAATATTATATGGGGATGATATATCGTCATGCCCAGAATTAACACTCACTTATTAGTTATTAACGCATTTGTAACATTAGTCAGTTATCTATCGCATTAATTGCGATCTTTAGTTTGTTTAATACCAAACTAATTTAAATCATCTCCTGAAATATTATAATGACAAATCACTAATTATCGGTCTGGACATAACTAACCTTCGAGGTAAATAATTATACCATGTGTTCGGCAACATCTATCACTACACATAAGAAATTAAACTTCTCTCCAATGTAATTTCAGTAAAATGCATTCAAATATCGTCAGAACGTGTATATAGATTAAATGATCATGAAGAGCTCAATATAAATAAATGTGGCTTTCTAAGTGATAAGAGAAAGAGACCCTTGCTACAAAAAATCGAGACAATTCTTAACTCATGAAAGTGATAAAGGTTTATTTTGAATAAGCGATAAACTATAAATAACAAAACACATTGTAGTTTACTCGTCTTGTATGTATCGTAGTATGTAACTCAGCCGGAAGGTTAACTATTCAGCTTCGTTATCGCTCCGCCTTGCAGTTACACACGTGTGTACCATCTATTGCATAATTAGCGCATTTTAATCTCCTGGAAACGTATAAAAACATTTTTCTTAATGGAAAACATATTATCGAGGGTAAATACTGGTTACGTACTAGTATGTTTGTGGATAACGTATTTTTAATTTTTTTCACGGACGACTGAGGTACAAATCATGCAAGGGAGTAAAATGTCAGGAGATGTGTATCCAGGAATGATTAATTAATTCACATTTCCACTCTTTCAAGGAATTCATTCATCAATTTGAGGAAGGGATCATCGTGTGATTTTCCTTTATCTTAACTGTAAGGACGTTCTTTTGTTTGGATGAGAACGTTAACCATGCAAAAAGTATCGCTCAAATATAAAGTTGACATCTTGCAGAGACACTAGCGAGTAGCAGTGTCTTTACATCAACCAAGTTACGACAGGCTTTTGAAGGCCCCCTCGTGAATGTCTGACAGCCATTGCCTGTCCCTGGGCAGAGCAATGTGTTTGTATTGGCTCCAACTACTGCTCACGTAACTTCGGTTGACTTCTTGGTAGTTCCCCAAACACAAATCCGCCTGTCCTTCACTCTTAGCCCACATTCACCGAAGCGACTGCACTGGCACGCTCAAAACCACGCTTAGAAACGCCAATGAGAGACACTTGGCAGCAGACCACGGAAGAGGTACATCATTGATATTATTGGCTTATGATAAAGAGACCTGCAAAAAAATTTGCAACTCTAGGGATCTTTTATTGTCACAAACAAGATATAAGCGTTTGTATTTCTTATTTTGAAGGTTGCAAAATGATTGATCCTTACTTTCACTCAGTGGCGGCATATTCCAGTTATAACATTTTTGTGTTAAAACCAAACATTTTTGCTTTTTACTTTCTCGCATACTACGTACTTTGTATAGAGAAACTATTAAAATAACGCGGCAAAAATGTTTCTTAACGAAAACTCGTATTCTGTACACATGACACAAAATACACCTTGTCCCAACATGTAGTAAATGTTGTTCTCTAACACGTTAAGTAGTCATAATCCACATTTTGGTCATTGCTACCACAAAATTGGTTCACAGCAAAACGTCTGTCCGTCAGTGAACCACGTTTCCTGTATTATTACGATACCGTCCTTAATGCGAAAAAGCACTTGCAGTTGTAAGTCCACTAGTTATATACAGTTTTAGATATATGTAACGTGCATATTTGTGTCATTCAAAATTACATCGGGAGTCAAAATCGCAGCACATCTTGCATTAACTTCTAATCTTATACGAGAGAATTACCCTCGCGTGTACTGCGAGACTGGTGCTTTACACCGCGTTGTTCCCTGACAGTTACAATGCGAAAGCACAGGACCCGCGAAACTATAGGCTGCGAACGAAGCCAGGGGCATTTTTTGAGAAGTGTATCTCAATGATATTAGCCAGTCCATGAGAGCAGAGATGACCCGCTGCCTCCCTACCTTCCGCCTTAACACGGACGCAGTCTGATGCGACACGGTAGAACAGAGGGCAGAACAGGCAGTACACCACAACATATGAGGCAGGCATTATTTTACTAATATGTTAATAATTAAATCTTCACTGCGCAATTCGAGTGCAATGGCAGAAGCGAGATTATGAGTTTATGCAATGCTCTCAATCGACTGTAAGTTTATATTGCAAATATTACTCGAATGAAAGAAATGTTATTAAGTTTAGAGTAAGGAAGGATATGTTTGTCTATTGCATTTATAAATAGATGAATACAGATCATTTTTATTTTATTTTTAGGTTAGGATATCTGATGCAATAATGGGAATGACTTGAAGATAAAGAATCATTCGAAATATGTACGTTAAATACATATAAATTCGTTTGCGTGAGTCTCGTCGTTTAGTTCCCCTTCCATTTTAATTATTGTCTGAATCACCAATAATTGAGGGCACTAACCGCCCCTCCTTATATTAACATGTCTATTTACTTCCGTTCTAAAATTGCTATAAGAATTGAGAAATAATTATGTTACTTTAGGGAAAGTACGTAATGTTAATTGTTCTTCGAATGTATGCACACTTCAACTATTTTCAGATTTTTCAGTCTTATGTGTTGCGGAGTTGTTATTTTTAACAAAGTGAAAGCCTAATTTAACACGACTACAGTTAAACTGTTCGAAATCTATTATTAGCATAATATAAAACATAATTGAATGGTGATTTATGTCCTATGTAGTACCCACAGGATTTAATATACTGAGTCATTGGTTTCGAATCCATACTGCGAAGACAGTGATACAAAAAAAATATTACTGTCATCGGTGACATGCGTCTTTAACCCCTGTTAATTATACATTCTTAAAGATGTGTTAAGTGAACATGTAAGTACTTCTATGTTAAGAAATTTAACATCCTTACCATCGGATTTTAACATCCTTAGGAACGTAAATCCGTTGCAACGCAACATCCTTAGTAACGTAAACAACCATCGATTCATCGTAAGTCAAGTGTTTATTAAAAAAACATGGCGATGTACAAAACAAATTCGACTCAAACAATTCAGAATAACAGTAAATCTTATTAATTTTTAGGATAATTATTGTTAAATATAATGTAAATGGTACTATTAGAAAAAAGTATATTTAGTAAATTAACTTCCTTTTCAATACATTACACCACATGAAATTCTTCTCCGGTAATCATATATACTGTGGATGTGAAGGTGTCGCCACTGAACATCTACACGCAAATTTCCTTACCGAACGGCATTTTTGTAGGTATCATTTGATTCAGGAAAATTCTTTGGATCCATCTTTCTCGAACCACGGTTTACGAATATTGATTTAACAGATACATAGCAAGCAACGCTTCACAATATCGTACTAACGATCCGCAGCAACTGAATTTATTTGTTTACTATCGTTTCAATGTCATACGTTTTCTCATAAATCGTGAGATTTTATGGTGACCGATAAAATGCCAAACTTACCACAAAATGTTACAGTGTTATTACTAGGTAAGTTAATAGCTATTGAATGTTTGGAGCCTGTCGTAATGTTTTGGTTTGTAATGCAAAACAACGTAAGTTGAACGTTCATACAGTGAGAAGGTGAATATACTCACGGCCAACGACTTGTTGCATTGATGCGCTAGGGTGTTCTTTACGATTTGTGAGAGAGTCCAGCCACCGTCTTCCTTTTCTTACGATTACTTCAGAAAAGTTTCTTTATTGTACTGAAATAATATACATTGGAGATAATCCAATGCATTTAGTTAAAATCTTCAAAATATGGCATTTTTAATCATCTTAATTTTCATCCCCTTACAGAAAAGATAGTTTTATTTAATGAATATAAAATTAACCTTGCAATTAAATACATTTTCTAAGATTACACATTTTTTGTGTACCGTCGGATCTGTTGAAAGTGACTGACGCCATTAATTATTTTTTTTACATTATACGTACGCACTTCAACTTAAGTATTTCTCCTAAAACGTTTTCTTCCTTTATTGCGTGGACTCCGTAATTCCGTGCGATGCATCTCAAGATAAAAGTCGTCCCTTAATTTTTTTATGTTACGATTCGTAACAACATTCTATTTGTAACAGCCACTTCCTGGTGTGGAACACGTTTTGGAGTAATCCTCCTTTAAGTTTTAGTGATCGTCAGTCGCAGTCAGTCGTTTCGGCTCACATTCTCCTTTGCTCTGTCGACAGGTTCCTGAAAGCCCAGCACGATGTCCCTGCGTCCGCAACGCACACGCCGTACCAAAGTGTACGACTGCAACTATGACATCGGCCAGCGCTACTACAAGCCCGTGGTGGACGACCTGGACCGCAAGTACTCCGGGCGCACGAGCGCCGACTCCCCGGGCAGCGGCCTGGGCTCGCTGCGCTCCGCCCTGGAGGAGGCCGAGAGCAGCCTGGGCTCCAGCAGCGCGCGCCGCGCCGCCCGCGAGGCCTCCGCCGAGGAGCTGGAAGAGTCGGTGCGTGGCAGCCACACTTCCCTACGACGAAAATAAGCACTCGACTCTGGGCCCCGTGCTATACACTTAAAGTTTAAAAAGAAGGAAATATAAAATATTCGGCAAAAAATGCCAACAAAATTCCGAGTGTCTCAGAAAAAATGTTATACACTTATAGGTTGGGAAGGTGGGTCAAGAAGGGACACTTTTTCTCAATGAACGTATGGTGGGAAATCTCAAAGAATAAAGTTGATATAAAATCAATACATATAATTTTTGCCCATGATAGACAACTTATCTCACCCTGGTGCATAGTAGGTACCATTCAAATATATTTCCCGCCAAACATCTGTGCAAGACGAGTTGCATATCAGTCAGGAGCAATGTCACGTGAATATCCTGACCTGTGCTCCTTGGCAAAAAGTGATAATTATCATTTGCCCTACTAGAACTTAAAATTTATTTAAATTGTTTTCAGACAACAGTATGTTTGTATCTGTAAAATAATTGTTAATCAAAGTCTTTTGTAGTTCATAGTTATTATTTCAGAATTTGTGTTTTTGGTGAATCAGTATTTTATCCGGAGGTGGGCCACAACATAAGTTTGTGTTTGAGGACCTCGCAGTATCTTAATCCGGCCTTGGGCAGGTGGCATGTGACGCCCCGTGTCCTCCCAGGCCGACACCATAAAGGCCATGCTTTCCTCAAAAGTTTTTGGTAACTTTATTCGATTAATTTAAAACAATTACCATATTTTATGTCGTATAAAAAGGAATATTTCCATTATGAATATAAATGTGAGTCAAAACACGGTTACATACTTCTAGTGCATGAAGGAATTGTAGATGTTTACCTTTTCCTAATGAACATGGGAGGAAAAATTTCATATAAATAAGTTATACACGTGGTATTTCTCCGCTATTTATAGCCAACTTATCATGATTTGTTGAGTGGCGGATACACGAAACACCTTTTACTGTGCCAGAACGTGACCAGCACCAACGAAACATCATAATGATTTGTGTGTTAATCAGGGGCAAACTATCCCATATGTAACTTCTTCATATGAAATTTTACCCCACATGTGCATAGTACAAGACGATTTTCTTCGACCCCCTACATGTTCTAGAAGTCAATATCATTTCTTCTGGGACACCCTGAATATTTTTTTAATTTTAAGCTATCAAAAATATTTCAAACAATTTTGAGGAGAAATTGAGCTGAATTTGTCCCCCCCACCAAAATAATTTTTGGGTTTGCATATTCTCCCTGTCTGCTGACCACCTGAGCATCAGGGGTATACACGGGCGGCTTGAGGCTCTGTGAGGTGAAGCTTGGGTAGTGGAAGTATTATCTCTGGAATCTTTGGCAGCAGGCGTGAACTGACTGAGAACTGCACACGGCTCCTATGGCTTGGATTCTTAGCTGGGTACACTGAATAGAAAGTATAAGGTGTGACGTCATTAAGGAAGGCTAGAGTTTGTAACTTGGGGTCGGTGGACAGGATACTTCGCCTGCGGGTCTGTGAGGAATCGCAGGTTTAACAACTTTGACCTGACACGTGGTGCGGAAAATCGGGTGCCGGGGAATATGAGGCGTGGATAGGAAAGGGCTACAAAAGCTGCCGCCACGGATGGCATATGTTTTTTCGGGGGCATTGCCAAAAGTGATAGTAATGTTAGAGATCAACACTTCACGTGTTATGTAGTTTAGAATGGGCCCTTAATCCCTAAGTCTCATCAATATCCTGGTCAAGTTCTAAAACTACTTTAAACAATTATTTTAAATGCTTTATTTTCTGCCACCATAAACACCACAACCTAGTCTTATATCCACAGCGGCTGCGATAGCAAACTTTTCCACATCCCATCTCTCGAATTCTTTGCAAGGATAAAATAACTTGCGACTAGCGAATAATTCTACTTATTAACAATTTCGTAGCTGCGAGTTTTCAATAGCGGCTGACTCCTAGTACACCCCACGTGACACAAGTTCTACATCTGCCAGTGGGACTGAAGTCCAAGCAATTGTCTTAGGCCTGGCGGGTGGTCAAAGTTCTGGAACATATTTTGACTCTGAAACACTAAAACGGAGACTTGACTAGACTTGAGATCTGAAGACTGGGCCTTATAGTTTCAGTAGCTTCAAAGGTTTTATTCAGGATACCCAAAAAACAAGGACTTCGATGTGGATTTTATTAAAGTATATAAAGTTTGTGTGTCTGTCTCTTGCATGTGAGGGAAATGTTTCCCTTCTGAATTGCAATCGTAATGACATCTTAATTAAACTTCCAAGCTGTAAAAATGTACTATAAATATCCATGTTTTCTATTTCAGTTTCCTTTTCTCTTTTTAATTTTGTTCTCTAATGTTTTTCTCTTTTGTTCTCGCTTCATCTTCTTCGATAAATTAAAAAAAAAATCTATGAGATTATAAATTTCAGTTGAATAGAACTTGTTACCAGGCAAATCATGCGACGCGAAGTTGGCACTCTTATGATGAATATGCCTTCAGTATGTCTGATGGTCCATTAACGTTTACTCACGAGCCATGCCTCACAAGAGAAGAGGAATGATGGCATGAAAGCTCTACGCGGACTTCATTAAGAAGATATAAAGAGATCTTATCGTGTAGATTTATGACATGCGCAGGTGCTCTTCAATATATGCCCTGTTGTCGGCAAAATTTTAACTGTCATAACTACCAGTTACTTATTTTGAATTAAAACAAAGAATCTTCCGAACTCATTACAGTATTATGAGATATTTGCAAGTACACTGGTTAAAGAAGAAAAATTAGCAGATTTCCGTATATTAAATTTCTAGGTTCAAAATTTAGACATTGGTGAACATTCGTCAAGTAGAAAAATACTAATTTTGAGTTATGACCATTATTTTGTAAGATTTTATAGTAATTATTAATACAAATCATACAAAGCCTTTTAGCAATGCTTACTCAATGATCTATTTCAGTTTAATCTATCTGCGCGTGATATATTTTAACGGTTATGGAAAACATTAAACTTGAAACTAGACTATAAAATTCTTTTTTCGATATAAGCCAATCTTGCCAAATTGTGTTGTTTTATCTCAATTATCCTTATACTCTCTATAATTTTGTTAATTATCTCTTTTCTACCATTTAGTATTCACTGCCATACGTAAGCGAGAAGTATTCAGTTTCACTGTTCGATAATATCATTTCCCTTGAAACAATCGTCTTTTTTCCGTAAATTGATGTAATTGTGATAAAATTATAGTAACTAAGTGATGTAAGTAAGTGATAAAATTATCTTGTAATTCTCGTTCGCATTATACCTGTTTGTTGTACATACGCGTGTTTCTATTTTGTTTGAAATGTGATTTGCCCTTCTAGCATGATGGCATGCCCAGACTGTCGAAATACCTTTCCCTCGAACAATCCAATTTATTGACGTGTTATGGGAACGAGAAATACGAGATGGTCTCTGATATTTTATCACTTGTCTTCATGCTGTAAATTTTGTATTTATGAAAGGTGAATTAACACATTTGAAACATTGTTCTGTGACTTGGAGGTAGTAGTCTATGTTGCTCTGAAAGTGGTGACGGATAATGTATTCATTTAAAGAACGAAAAAAGAGAAAATGACAAGATTCCAGTGCAGAACTATAAGTGTACATTCAAGTCTTTCAGCATTGTCCAAAATTTTGCAGATTGTCAGCGTATTGGCGTGCATTAAAAAACGTTATCGTAGAGATAATTACTGTATTGCTTAGTAAACTCGGCTCATTCATTGTCATTACATGATGTTTACATTGACATGTCTGTCAGTAGATATAGTCTTTCAGTGGCAGTTGAAGGCCGAATTCAGTCTCGAAAGGAGGAGTTATTTTAAAGTACGTGGTCAGAATAAGTAACGCATAGGCGTTACGAATTAAATTTTTACACTAGCAGTTTATTACTCCACGGTAACTACAGTTAAATTCATTTTACTTGTAACCATTTTATTTGATGACCCACGGATTTCTATATAGAGAGCGTTTGAAATCCCTGCTGGCAGTGAAAGTCTCGCCCTTGGTATCCCCAAAACTCCGTTGTTAGTTTCTTGTCCAACATGAATCTTATTGCTGTAGACGTCTGGTTTACAAAACTACGGGCTTTCATTGATATATTTCCATTTGATTACACGCAATAAATCCGGTGAGCCGGAGCACGGGACAGCGAAGAGACGTTTCGAACGCTCTTTATATTGAAAGGAATAAACCCGTTTTGACACGATCACTTCCTCATCTGGAACACGTGCATGACGCGGGTGCATGGTGGTGGCAGGTGTCTTCCCGCCGCCGCCCGCACTCCTCCCTGATGGACGACTTCGACAACATCTTCGAGAGCCGCGGGTCGCGCACGACCGGCGCCTCCAGCTCGCGCTCCGCCCTCGCGGCCATCGAGGACGGCGACGAGGAGTCCACGCCCAGCAGCCGGCTGCGCGCCGCGCGCGCCCGCGCCCAGGCCATCGAGGACGAGTTCTCCAGCAGCATGTCCAGCAGCCTCTCCAGCAGGAAGGCCAAGTCCGGCCTCGACTACTCCGAAAAGGTCTCACTATAAAATGCATGTTGGCGTCACGGTAGCATGTTCCTCTCGTGCCACGACTCATCCCCGGTTTGGTTCTTTCAGGACGTTCTGGAGTTCTAAGCGTCCCCACACATCCTCCTCTCAGATGTACTAAGCGCGCGGGTTCCTTCTGTGTGTCCTATAACACACGTAGTAACGTCTCTCTAGGTGTTTTCAAAGAAGTCGCATGGTTGTAACTCCCCCCACGTGTATGTGTGTATCCGATCCACGTCGTCTGGCGTCGGCGTCGGCGTGCCGGCGTGCGCCGCGGCACGTAAACCGTAACAAGCATGTGTTCGGGAGGCCGGGAGTCGCCTCC